AATGTTTGGGTCGAACAAAGAGCCTAACATGTCCTTCCACATTACCCTGTGGAGTCGTTCCTTGAGCCTGAGCCGAGTTACCTTGATTGGTTTCACTATAGGACTGTGAGACTAATCAATAATCCTGGCAACAACCCGGTGGTCCAACAGGAAGGAGGCTTCCATCCACTGTCCGAGCAGGGGATGTGCAGTGTAAGTGTTAATAAATTGTATTTTTTTTATTATTCTTATTATTTTTTTTTGTTTAATGGTAATAATTTTTAATTTTTTTTAGGCCAATGCCATGGAGGGGGTTTATAACTTGTTATCGACCCTTGACTTTAATGCACTCACTCCAGAGCAGCAGTCCATAATCGCCAGTGTTCGCCTAAACGGCCGTTTAGACCGTTTACACGCTGTTTAAACGGTAAACGGCGCTATGGTGTGCAGTTTAGCGGATAAACGGTAATTAAACGGGCTAGCCGTGTAGACGGAAAAAAACCGTGTAAAATGTGTAAACGGGACGGTATTAAACGGTATTAAACGGCCTAAACGGCCGTTTAGGCCGTTTACACGGTCCGTTTTGGAAATAGAAGCGGTTGGGCGGGAGAACAAAAAATTGATCCGTTTTGTGAGAACTATATATGCGTGCAGTGTGTTACTAACTGTTGTGTTGTAAGATGAACACCTGTGATGTTGACTGTTGTGATGTTATCTGCAATTTGCATATGGGCTATGGCTATGTCATTGACTCATAAGTCATAATATTAATACTAATGTAGTTAAAAACGTGTAATCCGTTTAATCCCGTGTACACGCCGTGTACACCGTCTAAACACTACACGTGCCCTCGCCGACTGTTTACCGTTTAGCGTTTAGGCTAACACTGATAATCGCACAACCCAAAACATGCTCTACAGTGGACTGACTGTCAGAGGACAAGGGGTCACGCAAGGAACGTCGTCGAGTCAAGTTCTATCTCAAGAGAGCTATGTCCGACCCCAACCGACGCAGTCGCACTGGGCGAGGCATCGACTTGCTGCCAATATTGGTGGGCGTAGAAGACGTCGTGTCCGCGAACTCGATGCCAACACCGTGCCTGCCGACACCGTGCCTCCCAATACCGTGCCTGAGGAACAAGCAGAAGAAGGTCAGATTTTTTTACTTAACTGCAATATGATTTTTAAATTATTTATTTATTTATTTATTGTCAAGTAGAATTTCTGATTTTTCTTAAAATATCATTTATTCAGATACAGAAGAAGAAGTTGCCACGCCCACAGCCTCGTCTTCTTTACAGACGTACCAGCGTCGGAAGGGCTCCCGAGAGCGTAGACCTCCGAATCAATTCACTCCTAGAAACTATTAGGAAATTTATGGACATGATTTTTTTTCTTGACTTTTGTGTAATTAAATTCACACATATTGGTATTTTGAATAAATTATTGTGCTTAAATTTTGTTTGTGGAATTGATATATTTTGGATGAATATTTGGTTGTTGAATATTTAGTTGTGAAATCGATTTCGACAAACAGGTGTTTTAGATTTTTTCTATTGTAAAATTGCTGTTTCTGTACAGTAAAACGTATTTTCATAATTCGTTTTACTCTTTTTTTTTTTATTGAAAACGTATTTTCAGAATACGGTTTTAAGTGAATAAGTTCGACCTTAAGTCAAGAAGTCTATTCGTTTAATTATTAACCGAGTCAAATTTAATAATTAATTTCCGAACCGTTTATTTTATAAACGGACATTATTAATCGGGATTGACTATTAATAGTTTATAATGTTCGGATTAAGATTCGAAAGCAAATTCATGATCAAGTCACGAAGGAACACAAAGTACACTATGCACGCACACGGGTGCGCGATGCACAAGGCCGTGCGTAGAGCGCGCGCCATTAAGCCCTTAAGTGCACGCTTATGATCCATTAAGCATTATGATCAAGCTAAGCAAACTTTATCCCAACTTCTTAGTGAGGCCGTCCAAAAATTACCAAGGATAAATGTTGGGGTGCAAGTTGTAGGGGTGAGTCACCTACTTACTTGCACATATGGCGACGCACGGGGCCGTGAGTGGTGACTAAGCCCGTGCATGCCCGCCACATTGGCCGATGACTAAGCCACAAATGTTCCACCTCAGCCACGACCTGGACACTTTTCCTCAAGGGAAGAATCATCATCTTTCACCTCCTTTGACCCAACGAATTTACCTCTTTAAATAAATCGAACGTGTAAATTTCTTTCATGCATTTTCATGCACAAAACCGAGCCCAACTTCAGCCTAAATACTGAGGGAAAATAGTGAGAAAAAGTTAAAGAAAAATCGTACAAAAATAGTTAAGGGTTGCCGAAGCAAAGAAGAAGCAAGCGCACGCCCAACCGAGTGCCAACACGCACGCAAGTCACCGTGCAATTGTCGTCTGAACTGAAGGGTATACTCTTGTTTACCCTCTTTTTATATAATTAAGTTCATGTTAGGAAGATCACGTCCATATCATGTTGTTCGATCCAAGTTTTTAGCAAAAATGGCCTCGGAGGTGCTATATAAGCCCTCTCCGAGTGATTTCAAAATCTAACCGGCAAGTCCCGAACAATCTATGCATATTTAGTCAAGTCAAGTCAAATTATACTCAGTCATATGTAAGTTGCCGGAAAAAGTAGCCGGACGGCAGGTGAAAGGCCGACCGTGATGCCTACCGCACACAGCGTGCGCACAGGCATGCCCGACAGTCACAACAGGCACGCTGGCAACGTCTGCGCGCCCAGCAGTGTGCACGCGCAACCAGTACCCCGGAAACCGTATTCTGAAAGTACGTTTTCAGTTAAAAAAAAATTCAAAAATTTTACAAATTTTTTATATAATTTATAGTATATAAAATTTATTTAAAAAAAAAACGTATATCTAAAATACGTTTTTGTATTTAAAACGTTTTTTGAAAATACGTTTTTTATAAAACGTATTATGAAAATATGTTTTAATTTAATTTAATTTTCTTAATCACGTTTTATATTAATGTAATTAAGTTAATCACGTTTAAAAATTTAATTCGTCATAAAACGGGACATAAGAATACATTTTACTTTAGAAATGTATTCTCAGAATACGTTTTTCAATGTAAAATGTAAAACGTATTCTGAGAATACGTATGTTTTATTTTGATCGACCCCTTTTTTTTATTTTTGTCCAATTATTTTTTTTTTATTTAAATAATAAATTCCTACTCGGGCACCCTAATTTATTAAAACAAATAAAATAAAATAAAAAATAAAATAAAAAAAATAAATCCAACCCGCCCCACCCAGCAGACTTTTAGTCACCAAAAGCCGCACCAGAAAATATAAGGTCGCCTCTTCTTTTACATTGACGCATTACTGTGCAGGCTGAGAGAGGTATGGTGATGGAGGAAGAGAGAGAGCAGCTACTTCACTTGGCTAGGCTTTCCGAGCAGGTCGAGAGATATGATGGTAATCTTAATTACTCTGGATGAATTTCAACTTCTTTTTTCGGGGTTTCTGTAGTTGCCAGTGGTGGGTTTTTTTTTTTTTTTTTTTTTTTTTTTTTTTTTTTCTCTGCTGTCTAATACCTAGTTTCTAGCCTTTGATCCGAGGGTGCTGAAGCCATTTCTTGGATCTAAGTACCTTTTGCTTACTGCAGTTGTAAGAATGTCGAATTTCTTTTGTTTATCAGTTGTAACAGATACAACTGAACTTGTAACTTCGGTGAATTGGTTCTTGATTCTATGTATTCATTTGTAATTTCTCAGTACTATATTTTGGGTATCCTTGAATTCCAAGTTTTTCTGTTGCTAAATACATTTGGCTGTTTTATGATGTTTATTATTATGCATTTATGCTTGCCTTCATATTATTCAAAAGTAATGGTACTTTTGGTGTTGAAAGTTTCGGGTTCATTTGGTTCTGATATTCATATGATCATTCTTTTGTTTCGTTGTTCCGGTTCGCAACATTTTTGTGCCAATGGTATTTAAGAGGGTGAAGCAGCTTCTGAGATTGGTTTGAAGTTTGTTTGAAGATGGACATTGTTATGATGTAAGAACTAGTTAGCTGCTGAGAATGACTAGTTTTTCTTGATTATATGCAAGTGACTTTAAACATTATACTATCTATGCACCTGAAGTAAATGTAATTTTTTTATCCTTTTATTTTTGTCTATTGTACTTTTTCCTTAGTATCATCCCTTGTTTCAATTGTAGAATTTTGATTATTTAGCATAGTGATACAAAAAATTATAGGAAATTATGTTGAAATTCGATTACATCGTAACCGTGGTTTATTAGAAGTAATTTTACAATTTGTTACATTATGGAAAACTAGGTAACATGAATATTGCCATGTCCGAGTACATAGAGCACGCACGCCTACCGATATTGTTCACTTATAGAACACTTGTTGAACGATAGAGTTATTTACAAACTGATATATGTTTCCTAATTATTTCATTGTACTTTTTATACCTAAGGTTGTTTTGATATTAATTATATATTTGTTCAGAAATGGTTGAAGCCATGAAAAAAGTGGCAAAGTTGGATGTGGAACTAAATATTGAGGAGAGAAACTTATTGTCTTCTGCTTACAAGAGAATGATTGGGGCTAGACGGGCCTCTTGGCGTATTTTATCATCAAAAGTAAAAAAAGAGGAGAATAAGGGGCATGAGCAGAATGTGAAGAGAATAAAGAGCTATAGGCGGAGGGTCGAGGATGAGCTCACTAAGATGTGCATGGACATAATATCCGTGATCGACAACCATCTCTTGCCATCTTCGTCGACTGTAGTGTCATCCGTATTCTATTACAAAATGTAAGTGTGGTAATTATCCTTTATTCATTCTGCTTGCTGTTATATTGTAATATGTATTCAGTATTATGGATGCATGGTTCGCTGTAGTTTTTTCTCGGCCTTGTAATGGATTTTGAAGGGCCTATTTGACTGCTTTGGTTGAATTCTTGAAATATTTTTTATTTATTACTTTGTTAGGAAGCTGTTATTTAATTTGATGATTTGGTCTACCCGCTTATATGCTGCTTCGGTAATTTGTAAGTTAGTTTTGGTGCCCGGATAATACTTTACGTACCATTTCAATCAAAGATGTAATGGTTGAGTAGGCTTTATCCTTCGGCTAGATAATTTTTCATCCTTTCGCGTTATGTGTAAAGCTTATCAAATTTTTTGTTTACCCTTCAGGAAAGGAGATTACTTTCGATATTTAGCTGAGTTCAAATCTGGGGATGACCGCAAAGATGCTGCAGACCAGTCGCTCAAAGCGTATGAGGTCTGTTTCTTGTCTAACTTTTGATTTGCTTCACTATGCGTTTTCTAGCATGCATAGTGGTTATCTTTTCCTTGTCAAGTTACTGGCAGTTCATACATACATACATACATCGTAAAGTATTTGTTCTTCTTTGCATAACATATATATTTGTTTTGGGTAACTTAACTTTGAAATTGCAGGCTGCAACTAGTTCTGCGTCGACAGATCTTGCACCAGAACATCCTATCAGACTTGGTCTGGCCCTCAACTTTGCTGTTTTCTACTTCGAGATCTTGGATTCTCCAGAAAGGTCTGTCGTAACTCTGCGTGTGTGTGAGTGTGTGTTGTGTTGTTGTGTGTGCCTTATTCTTTACGGAAAAAGTAAGTATATTTATTCTCACCTTGCTCATTATGCGTGTTTCTTTTTCTGTTTCCTTTTTTGTATTAAATAAATCAAGTATGTTTTTTTGTTTGTTTTTAATTTCACCTCTTCTCGCACCCCCATCAATGAGTGCAGACCTATATTCAATAATCGCAAATCAATGTATTTAGCTTGATTTTCTTCAAGGGTGATTGTGTTTACTCGAGATATGGTTGTCCATAAACTTTCATGACAACTTTGAGCTTGATTCCTTGTGTGGCTTCGCTTACGTTGATAAAGTTGAAGATAGAGTCCAAAATCCATAACAATATATTCTCTTGTTTCGTTAGAAGGATTTATTACCCAAAAAACCCAACAGATTTAGTGCCAAATCGGTATAACATATTGGAATTTACGAATACTACTGGGACAAGTGCAAATACAATTCATATCCTTTCACTTGTTTGTATTAGGGGATCGGGCAATCCATTTCAAATCCTTATATTGCTTTTATCATTTCATATTGTGGCTCGATATTTAAAGTTTTACGCTGGAAACTGGGGTCTATTGTCCTTGATTGACATCTTGCCATATTGCGGCAGGGCTTACCACCTGGCGAGACAAGCATTTGATGCAGCAATTCCGGAACTTGAGAAAATCAGTCTGCTACATTACAGAGACAGCAGAATGGTAATGCAGCTTCTCAGGGATAACCTCACTTTATGGACATCCGAACCCGAAGAGGGGGCTGGTACGTCTAAAATGGCCTGCTCTAGACATTTTAATACGAGCACTTTGTTATATGTGATCTTTATATACAAGATATGTATGCATCTATCATGATTATGTACGCCTCGCAATGTATGAATATACTACCATTTGGATAACAAATTATTGCCCACTGGAGGCGAATTTTGTGGATAAGATTACGTATTTTATTTTTTCTTAATAAAAAACCTAAAAACATCACCTTTGTGGCCCAGGTGAGCAATCCAAGGTTGATGATGAGATCCAAGAGGAGACGACAAATTGACTCGGTTTGTCTAAATTCCAAAGATATTGGTTAGTTGTATGAGATTTAGTGAATAGCACCAGCTGTTTATTATCCACATGCAAATTGGTTTAGTTCGTCGGCATTTTCCCGCCCTTTCGGATGTGTGGCGATTTGATAGATAATTTGTTATGGGAAGTAGTAAGTTATTATGAAGCTATATGGGGTTGATGAAAGATGAAACAAATATTTTAGCTTGGAAGTGATGGTGAATGCCTCAGTGCTTGTGGATGGGAATCGCGTGATATAAATACCTCGTTTTTTACCTGAAATACATTGACTGATTAGTTGTTTGTGCAAATCCAGAGATTGTGCACTGATGTGTTGACCTGATCTGATTTTTTTAAAAAAAAAAATAAAAAATAAAATAAAAAAATATTATTTAGTGATTAAGAGTTGCTCACCTTTGGTGCAAGTCTTGTTGAAATTTAGACGTGCGTACTAAGTGCAAAGACAACCAAATAATAATAATAATAAAAAAAATATTCCTAACAATTTGGTTATAGCTATTCAATATGACTTACGTGAATCATAACAAAAAATTTACAGTTATTCGTACACTTTTTTCTTAGATTTAATCAGAATACACGATTCAACGTTAATGAGTCCAAAAGAAGGATTCAACGATCATTGTATGTTGGTGCTGATATCGGGTTCAGAAAATGCAGAGCAGAGGAAAAGATTTTTTTTCGACAAGAGGTGGATTCCAAAAGAAGGATTCAAAGATGTAGTTCAAAAGGCCTGGAACGAGCAAAGCGAAGGCACGCCAATGTACAGGGTAAAGAAAAAGATCAAGCAAACGAGGATTGCTTTGTTAAAATGGAGCAAAAATTTTAAATCAGCAAAACAGAAAAAAATTCAGGAGTTATCGACTATGCTGGAAAATATGCGGAGGAGAGGAGGAGATAGAGACTGGATGGCACTCTATTAAAGCTCAACTGGAGGTAGCTCATCAGGAGGAAGAAATCTTTTGGAGGCAGAAAGCGAGGCAAATCTGGTTAAAAGAAGGAGACAATAACTCTAGATTCTTTCATGCTTATGTCGCCCAAAGAAGAAAACGGAACGCTATCACCAGGCTTGTTGATGAAGCAGGCAGAGTATATGAGTCTCCATAGGCAATTCAAAATTGTGTCTGCCAATTTTATGATCAGCTATATAAATCAGAGGGTTCAAGTGGAGGTTCGGATTGTTTGCAGCATATTCCTAGGGCCATCGACGAGCAGATGAACGAAAATCTTATTGCAGAAGTAAAGGAAGAAGAGATTAAAGAAGCTTTATTCAGTATGAATCCAGAGAAGGCGCCGGGAGAGGATGGGATGACAGCTATGTTTTTTCAACACTTCTGGGAGCTGATTAAAGAAGATATTTGTACTGCAATCTGGAGTTTCTTTCAATCAGGGCGATTATCAAGGTACTGGAATCATACAATTATTTCGCTTATACCTAAATGTCTAAACCCTGTTTCTCTTAGTCACTACAGGCCAATAAGTCTGTGTGGAGTTGTATACAAAATCATTGCCAAAATTTTGGCCACCAGACTGAAAGAATGCCTTGATAAGTGTATAAGTGACTACCAAGCTGCATTTGTCCCGGGAAGATCGTTGATGGACAACGTGATAGTAGCCCAGGAAGTATTTCATTTCCTAAACAGACACAACTCGGGTAAGAATTGTTTTATGGCGATTAAATTAGATATGTTAAAGGCGTACGATCGTGTCGAATGGGATAATGTGAGGCAGGTGTTGCAGAGGATGGGTTTCAATGGTACTTTTATTAAATGGGTGATGGGGTGTATTACTACAACATCTTTTTCTTTTCATTTGAATGGGCAGGTGTGTGGGTTGGTTTATCCATCGAGAGGGCTTAGACAGGGGGACCCTCTCTTCCCATATATTTTTATTTTAATCGCAAAAGTTTTTTTCTTCCTTACTGAATTCTGAAAAAGGGTTGGGTGGTTTGCAAGGGATTAAAATTTCAAGAGGAGGGCCTATGGTATCTCATTTACTTTTTGCAGATGATTCCCTGGGGTTCTGTAAAGCCGACAGTAATCAGGCTTACCAGCTAGTGGATATTCTTGCCAAGTACAAAGCTTTCTCGGGTCAACAAGTGAATTGGGGTAAGTCAACTGTGTTTTTCAGTAGTAATACGCCTTTACAGGTGAAGCAGAGTGTCTGCCATATTTTGGGAGGGATCACAGTTCATACTTCCACCAGATATTTAGGACTACCACTGGGGATTGGTAAGTCCAAGGTGGAGACTTTCAATTTTGTGTTAGAAGCAGTCAAAGGAAGGGTCCAAAACTGGAAGAATAATTTTTATCCACGGCTGGCAAGGAGGTGCTGATTAAAGCGGTGTTAAATGCCCTACCTATTTTTGTTATGAGTTGTTTTAAACTTCCTGTTACTATTTGTAAGAAGATTGCAGGTATTTGTGCTAACTTTTGGTTGTCAAAAGGCAAAGAACATGACAAAGGTTTTCATTTGAAGTCCTGGAGTTTTATGACTCTACCTAAGAAGTGGGGTGGACTCGGCTTTCAAGATATCCAACTCTTCAATGATGCAATGATTATGAAACAGTTGTGGAGAATTCTGACAAAACCAGAGATATTGGTGAGTTGGTTACTCAAAGCCAGGTACTTTCCTCATTCTGAATTTGTGGATGCAAAAAGAATTACTGGAGTTTCTTGGGTATGGAATAGTTGGATGGATGTGAAGGAGAAATTTGATCAGAATGTCCAGGTACAGTTACATAGTGGAAAAAAATGCTTTGATTTTGGGCTATCCTTGGGTGCAGAATCTGGGAAATAAAAGGGTGGTTTTTAAAGAAAATGTGTCAGATGCACCTGTTTGGGTTGAAGATTTATTGCTAGAGGATGGGAGGCAATGGAACAGTGAGTTGGTTAACAGGATGTTTGACGGGGAGATAGTAGAGGCCATTTTGCAGATGAAGAACATAAGGCCTGGAGAGAGAGAGAGAGTTGGGCATGGAGACCACATAAGAAGGGTAATTTTTCTGTCTCTTCGGCTTATGCTTGTTTAACTTTAAATAAAATCTTGAAAATGGATCTTCCTGAAGGTAGTAATTCCGGAAGGATTGATATGCTAACCAGGAAAAGGACTTGGCACCTCAAAATAAAAGGTAAAATTAAACATTTTATATGGAAGTGTTTCTCGGGAACACTACCAGTGAATGTTAATTTACTCAAAAAAGGCATCAGGGTGGACCCAATTTGCGAAATATGTGGGGAAGCAGAAGAGACGATTGAACATTGTTTCTGTGAATGCCGTAGTGCCAAGAGAATATGGGAATTAGCGCCGGTGAGTTGGGATGGGCTGATGTCAAATAACAATACTTTTTCTGATTGGTGGTGGCAACTATGCTCTTTATCTCATAAAGCCATCGATGTGGACAAGATTCAATTGTCGACATATTTACTATGGTGGCTATGGAAAGCACGCAACTTATGGGTGTTTAAAAAGCAGTGGCTACCGGAGTTTTGGTTAGTGCAGCAAGCGGGCAAGGATTGGAGAGAATTCAGTCAGATTTAGTAGTTTGTGTTCTAGACTAGGAATGGATATGTAGGTCGTAGTACAGTGCGTCGTCTTAATCTAAAGGTTTTCAACTTCCCTAGCTGCCTATAGATTTGTCTTAGCTTGATCTAGATCGAGTTTGAGCGATCTCCCATTTCTTCAGGCTATTTTTTGAGTGTCCCGGATGGGCGAAGTTGTATTTGAACTTTGTATTCTTGTTTTGAATTAATGTGAGTTTTCCTATCGTGTCGAAAAAAAAAAACTTTAATGAGTCCAATCTAGTCTACAGAAATAAAAAGATAAAAGAAAATTTTATCAAAAAGTCGGAGTATTTTCTGATTTTCTGTCTCAACGTCTGTATTTCTCAATCTTTAAGATTTTGCTAGATGTTATCTATTAGTGCCTTGAACTAGTGTTCATTAAAAAACTATGGGTGTGATTTGGATACAAATAATATTCAAAATTAAAAATCATGAGTCAGATTTAACTAAATTTAATTCAATTCACTATTATCGTTATAATAATACAAATCAATCATCGCTACACATCACATCAATTTTAATTCAATATTCATTCACTTCATACTTTAACTACTTGTCACTTCTAATCATGTTTCTCTTACTTTTACATCAATTCAACTTTAATTATTTTATTTTAAATATTATTTTAGTGCAAACTCAAAATCCCACTCAAACCTAATAAAACTATTGTTTTTAGAATTAATTATGGTTAACCAAAAAAGCAGTCAAAACTCAATCAAATATATATATATATAATTACTAGCTAATCCTATTTAATAAAACATTTAATAAAAATATTTTCACTTTCCCTCCAAAAGGAGTTACGTTTTTTTTAATTAATTACTCACTAATCCCACATTTAAGAAGTTTTTTTAGTTAAACCTAATTAGTTAATGGCTAAATTAAAAAGGTTTTTTTTAGTTAATCCCACATTTATGTTTCTTATTCTCATTTATATATATAAACGTGGCAATCATTATTGTTGTGCAGAAACTATATATTATTATTTTTTATTCCATTATGAAGTGAATAAGAAATTAAACTTATAAAAAAAATTAATAAATGTAATAAATACAAACATTATAATACAGATCATGTTACATTACAATATAATTTTTTTTTTTTTTTTTGTAATTTAATTTCCAGCCATACTCCATCAAACATATAGCTGCAAAATGATAAGAAATATTAGTTTCATAATTAAAATAAAAAATTAGCTCCTCCAAATGGTAAAACCTTATAAATTAGTAGTATAGATACATTTAAATGACATATAATTTATAAAGTTAGACTATACGCATAATAAGATTAATTTAAAAAAAAATTAATGAAGTAAATAAATAAATTAATAGTCTATATAATTATTATAGCAAAGTCTATATTGTCAATATTATCATTTAAAAAGTTCATTGAAAAAACATATGTATAAAAA